AATGGAAATGAAAATTGATTAAAAGACTGTGGTATCGGGCTCGTATTTTGGTTCCGACGCCCGGTACAAGTCTTATATATTGTTTAAGCGCTTTCTGTAAAGTTTGGTCGAAATCGGACGTCGTTTGACGTGTTTCGGACCTAAATATCTAAAGTTGGAAGTTTATGAAGTTTGAAATAGAAATGATGTTGAGGATCGGGTTGCGCGCCGCAACAATAACATATGAGGATCGGGTTGCGCGCCGCAACAATGATAAATGATAAATAATGTGGGTCGGGTTGCACGCCGCAACAATGGTAATTATGGAGCGGGTTGCACGCCGCAACAGTTGTTGATATCATGTGTTTATGTCTGAATATTGATTTCTTGTTTCACTGTGGATTTATAAGTTGTTTTAGTTGTTACTCTGGATTGCTGTTAATATTGTATCTCCCCATAGCATGTTTCCCCTCCCATGATGTTAATTACTTGGTATTCGATTTCCGCTGTATATTATAACTGCACAGGTTTATGTGGTGTCCAGTCTAGCCTCGTCACTACTTCGCCGGGGTTAGGCTAGACACTTACCAGCACATGGGGTCGGTTGTGCTGATGCTACACTTCTGTGCATTTTTGCACAGGTCCAGGTTTTGAGGAGCAGCAGCAGCAGTAGTACGGGAGCAGGCTTTCATATCACAAGACTGAGGTAGCCTTGCAGGCGTCCGCAGGCCCGGCGTCTCTTCTTTATGTTTCCCTTTTGAGTGTTGCCTCATTGTTTCGAGACAGACAGCTGTTATATTTTTTTCAGACCTTTGTATTTAGTTTATTCTTAGTGGTTCGTGAGTAATGTGACACCAAATCTTGGGTAGAGGTTGTTTTTGACTATTCCGCATTTTAAATTTATCATTTTAAGACAGACTTCCGCTATTGTTCTTATTAGACTTTATGTTCTATATTGATGTTATAAACCGTTAAAGATAATTGCTAGTGATGGAAAGGTAATTAAGTTGGCTTGCCTAGCTACCACAAGTAGGCGCCATCACGACACTGATGGTGGAAAATTCGGGTCGTGACAGTTTGAATATTTTAATGTCACACCAGTGAACATTCCTTTTGATGCTAACTCTCATTTGAAAAAGAATAATGGTGGCCAGTTGCTCAGTTTAAATATGCTCAGATTATTGGGAGTCTGACGCACTTAATGAATTTTACAAGGCCTGATATAGCCTATGTTGTATGTAGACTGAGTAGATATATTCATAATCCCAACAGAGAGCATTGGTTTGCATTAGATAGACTAATGAAATATTTGAGAGGAACCATGACTTATGGTATTCTATATAGTGGATTTCCTTCTATTTTAGAAGGGTACAGTGATGCAAACTGGATCTCTGATTCAGATGAGACAAAATCCACTACTGGTTATGTATTCACCCTTGATGGTGGTGCAATATCGTGGAAATTAGCTAAACAGACGATCATTGCTAGATCGACTATGGAATAAGAGTTTGTAGCTCTAGAGTTAGCTGGTTTTGAAGCTGAGTGGCTAAGAAACTTTTAGCTAATATCCTTTTAATAAAGGACGTATTGCCTCCTGTGTTTATACACTGTGATTGCCAAGCGGCAATAACGATACCAAAGAATAAATCTTATAATTATAAAAGTAGACACATGAAATTGAGACATGATGTCATAAAGCAGCTGCTGAGAGATGGAATAATTTCTATTGACTATGTGATGTCAGAGATAAACTTGGCGATCCTCTGACCAAAACCTGTGGGAAGAAAATTAATTATTCAAACCTTAAAAGAAGTGGGGTTAAGGCCGACATGTTGTCAATAGAGATGGTAACTCAACCTATGTGATTGGAGATCCCATGAAGTAGGTTCATATGGGTAATAACAAGTCGATATTGACACTGAAGGATTAAAAGAGAGTGCTTGACTACTACTAATTGAGAGAATGAGATATAACTCTTAATGAAATTCATATTCCTTATGGATGGTGTATTTAAAAGCAATATACACTTGATGAATTCACCTATATGAGAGTGGAGTGGGGCCACTCCTATGAGATTTGGCCTAGTCTCTAGAGCTCTCATGAATAACCAGGCATGCGCATGGCCTATTGGGCGCAAAACAGCGTTGAACAGCAAAATTACCAGGGGTCAAAATGTAATTGATAAAATCTCTGACTTACAATAAGAATTATTGGTTCATATAAATATTATATTTCACCAGTAATTCTGTGAGTTAAATTTTATTGGTCTAAGTTTGGTTCATAGTCCTGAAGACACCAAATCCGTTACATTTGGACCATGCAAATCCAGCAAGTCAATTCTTCCATTCCTTTATCCTTTTCCTATAAATTTTGAAAATATATGGGGATTGTGACAGTATTTTCAAAATAAAAGAGTCCAAGTGTCATTGTGCATGGAAAGAAACATTGGAGTTACAATTTGTAAAGGGAATTAAGGACAAGTTTATGGACACTTGTCTATTTAAAACTATTTATAAGCCTATAAATAGGCACTCATTCACTGTTGATGATGCAACAGAAATGCTTAATATTTCTAATTCTTCTCCCCCTTACGCCTCGTTCTTTCTTTCTAATTTAGTTGTTCTTATTCCTTTTTCTTATTTACTGGATATGAAAATTAATGTTTTGCTGATTCCTGTATCCTCTAAATAAATAGAGATGAGCTTATTTAATCCTGGGGAAATATTTCACAATGCTGACATAGTTTTTTAGAACAGTGCCCAGCACGACTCAAGCCAGTTCGTGTATCTACTTACAAATAATATTATTGCAGTATTATTATCGTTATTTTCCGGTGTCATTTCCCTACACCGTTTGAATCGTTTAATTTGATCTACACACAAAGTTCACCATTAATGTTCACATCACCATAACCAGGCCCCAATTGACCTCTATTAGCGTAGGCTAAGTTATTACAGACTCTCCCTTTGACCCATTAATAACTGAACTCCATGAACTTTTAGGGTGATTTTGACAAATATACAGTTGCGTACTGCCAAACCTAATTTCAGACCCAAATATTTGAAGTTCGAACTGGCTTCCAACGCTCTGCTTTTGTTAATTATTTCATACAAATCTAGATAGATTGTTTTTACGCTTTGCTAATATTCTTTGTCCACCAGTATCAGGGGCGGCCCGACGAATTTTGTGGCATAAAGCCAAACTTTATGAGGAGCCTTAATTTTTTAGTTTTTTTAATTATTTATTTGAAGTCTATTTGTTTAGTTTTTCTTAGATACAAAGTTATTAACAATTTTCTTATAATCAATAACTCCTAATAAGTATTTCTCAATTGAAAATATAGCTAATCCATTTAACCTTTCTTGTGACATTGTTGTTCTTAGGTAAGATTTTATTAATTTTAATTTTGAAAACTTCTTTCCGCTGAAGCAACGGTAACATGAGTTATGAACATTATTCGATAAGCAATTTAGGCGTTTGGAAAAGAATTATATCTTTTTATTTGATTAGGTGTATCAATTAAACTGTTATATTCTAATTGTACTATTTTTCTAATACTTTTAATTCGGAAAATAAATCTGAATCATCAATATCGTTAAGGAACATTCAAGATTAAAGTAATATTTTTTCAAATTTCCAACATCTAGTGATCTTAGTTTTAATTGCCAAACAGAAAGCCAAAAATATTTTCATATGCTTCGGATTGTTCAAATCTATTTTGAAGTGAAAAAATAATCTTGTCTATTATGTATAAAAGTAATAAACTTTAAAGGACTCTTTGCAAGATTTTGAGATTTCATTATCAACATTCGCATCAAATTGTTACTTCCTATATATCACACGTTTCTTACGAAATTCGGGTTCGATATTCATTTCAAGTGCAATTTCCTTGGTAGAATCATAACAGTTGCAAATCCTTTTCCTCTATGTTTGTTAAAGAAAGAAATCAAACTTTTTCACTTTAAAGAACTCATTTTTAAACATATACATAGTTTATTAGGTGTAACAAAAAATGGGGCCCCCACAAATATGGGCCTAAAACGGTTGCTTTACTTGCTTCATGGAAGGGCCGCCCCTGACCAATACTATCATTTGTCATTTACGTAATTATTTTTCTTACAAAATCTAAATAAAATGTTTCTTCCTCGTAACAGCTTGTTTGGATGGTTGTTACCTATCGTATCGTATCGTATTGTTACTTTAAATACAATGTTTGTTTTGATTGTTACTTAAATTTTATTGTATCGTATCGTTAAATCCGTCGTTACGTAACGATGAAATGTGCCGCTTTATGTAACGACCGATTTGGTGTGGTCGCGTTGTTTCCTTGTGTTTTTCTCTCAATTTCACTTCATTATTATTAAATAATTTTATTTTATCATTTACCCTACCTTTTTATATAATCAAATTTTTTTTTAATAATATTGCAAGTTTATTCATCATATCACAGGTGCGTGATACCATGAAACGACGCTAAAACGACACAATCCATCCAAACATTGTATTCATCAAACGATACAGTACCATACAATACAATACGATACGATACATTATGAAACAACCATCCAAACAAGCTGTAAGTCGCAGCTAGCCTCGTGATTTTACTATATTTATTTCTTATAAATCTAAATAAAGTGTTATGTCGGAGTTGGACTTGTTATTTGCATGCAGCTGACTATGTAAGTTTCTAGGAAATTCATTTTCCTTAAGGGTTGGATTTTTGCTAATAAGCTCAACTATTGTGGCATGAAAGAAGGTTAATTCGTTGGAAAATGACAGGTAAAGCAAGTAGAGAATTGTCCGCACGTCTAAAAATCCTTCAAGGCAAAGGAAATTCAATATCACCTTACTTTAATTTGTTGTCTAGTTCCACACTTCATAATTACTACATAATAATGGAATTAATAGAGCTGGGTCATCATTATTTAGCTAATTCCCCACATCCTTATTTTTTTTTCCAGTTGATTATTAAGAACAATAAATTGTTACATAATTTCTTTCCATCTATCTAAACTTTAGTAGGTAAAGTTGCTTGATTACTGTTCTGCACTACTAATATGTAGACACTCAAATGAAATATCCAGATATTTACAAGCTGGTTCTATCACCACAATTCTGGGGAAAAATAATTAACTGAGCCACAACTTTAAGAAATGAGTAGTAGGATTATCAAGAGACAAAAGTGATGCAAAATTTATTTTACAATAAATAATTTACAGGTAAAATGCTGCTCCCTGTCTGCTCATAATCAGAACTCATCTGGTAGCATCCCAGTATTTTTCTTATGCATCAGCTCTCCATCTTGACTATCAACACGATCATCAGCTACGAAAGCAGCGAGCATTTTGGACCGAATCTTTTGGCTTAGAGTTAAAGGTGATGTTTCCAGGTTTATCCGAAGATTTTGTCCTCAGAATAATTGCTTAGAAGCTTCGCTGTGTAGCTACCAAAATCGATCCTTGTTAACACTCAAGTATCCAGACATGACTTTTCCTCCGGTATTCCTCATACCGTCTATGAGGAAACACCACGTGGAACCCAATGCTCCAATGAAGAAATCGGCTTCAGTTGCCAACAAAAAATTAACAAGAGGATAATTCGTGCTCGTCTCCCTGCCAAGACTGGCTTCATAATTTGCCATTGTCATGTTACCCATTTGGCGTGTCACATTTGTGTAGTAAAACTTCCAATGGGGGTACAGTCTCGATTGATCCACAACTTCCTGTTATGTTGGAAGATGTGTTTTAATGAAAAATCAGGGAGAGAAAAACAATTGAAGTATGAGAAAAGTGTCATACCTGCATTTCTGTTGAAAGCCAGATGCTCTTAAGATTAGGGAAGTGCTCTCTTATGCGCTCAGCAAGATGCATGTATTCTTTGAACCCTACAACCTTCATCTCACATGCCTTGTCGCCCATCCGGACATGCATGCTCAGCATTGGCCTAGGAGTCCAAGGTTTATGACTTGACCATACAAATTTTGCAATGTCATGTCCGACCTTTTCTACTCCCTGAAGAAAGGAAATGACAGGGAAAAAATCTTCTTTTTAATCATATAGATTCATATTGAAGCATGATAAATAATTTTCTGTTACACTACTGGAATAAATCCAAGGAGGATATCACTTCTCCACGTGAACAGAATAAAGGAAATTTATATTAGATTTGAGCGATGACCGAAGATGAGAGCGCAATGAGATGGCATGATCCTATAAATTGTATCACAATATTCACAATTAGATGAAAAGGTAGAACCCCGAAGAATTAGCTTCTAGTCAAGAAGAGATGAATAGAGTTCAGTACCTCTGAAAAATCTCTAAGTGGACTTTCAAGAACCATTTTTGCGGCTTCCAAGCCAAATGCTGCATGTCGTGCATGGTTTAGCAAGTCGCATGTGTACTCAGTCTGAAACCGCATTAGGTAGCGCACTGCCTGGAGAAGAAAGATATAAAAGTCATGACAAATACATATGCTTATCGCCTTGAACATCGCTGATAAAGCTATTTATTGAATGCACAGGGAAAAACAACAGGTAAAAAAGCTTTTGAATTGCAGCTGGAAAAGGGCAGATTGATGAGAACATTAGCATCCATTTTGTTATATACTAAGGGTACAACTGAAAGAGCAACGATTACAATTTTGCACTGTTTTATTTGTCTTTCAAAAGAGTCGATATAATTACACACAAGGAGCATGCGAACATCCGAAATTATATGATGTTCTAAGTTAAGTAGGCTTACGGACTCTACCTGAGCTCGCCACCACCTCCTATCCATTTTGCGATGATAAGCAATTAGAGTTCCATTTATATCTGTTGTTGGCTGCAAATAACTCCAAGGTTTGCCCCATGACCTGAAATCAAGATGCTTTGAGTTGCATGAACTATATAATAATATCTCCATCCCAAAATAAATGACCGGGTTCAGAGTTATATTCTGCTGATTTATGGCATGATTTTGGACGACATTCCTTTGACGTTCCTGAAAACTAAATTTGCATGTATAGAAACTACATAAAAGCACTAACAAGTGTAAATCACAGTTATATTAAGATGGAAATCCAAAACGAAAAGTTATTTTGACTTCCTAATTAGTAACAGTTATAAAATGGACAGATAATGTACTTGATATTGCAGAGTTATTTATTTTCACAGATGGCATATGTTACAGCTTTACCTTGGAGTGTGTCCAGACCATATTTCCTTAGAAGTATAGTTTTCTTTTATCGTTATGATCCCTTTTTCCCATGCTTCTTTTTGTTTCATAAGCTCAAAAGCACGATATCTGCATTCCTGGGATGTTTCTGGAAAGAAGTAGCAAGACCAACTGGAGCGTGACGAACCTATGAAGGCAACAGTGACAGAATTTCATGCCAATAGCCATACTATCATGTCTCAACTTCAAATGCATTCAGGAAGGAACTCCATAGTTTTAACATGGCACTTTTAATGTTTGTTCGTGAGACTATTCACAGACCAATTGTCTAAACTTTTCTAAGTTTTTGGTGGGATCTAGGAATAATGCATATAAAGTTAATGGAGATTTGAAATAGGTTTGACAAACTAAAGGGGACGTAACGTAGAACCAAAATAAGAGGAAAGTCATCAGTTTTTTATGTTCTCCTGTGGTTTCTAGAACTGTTTTTTCCCCTAATGGCCAAATGTTGATGATCCAAAGGGGTAAAAGTGTAAAGAAGCGGCGACAATTAGAGCTACCTTTACAACCATCATGATCAGCACGATTATAATAGCTCGTAACAAGGACCCTTTTCTCATTGATTGCTATTGCAAGAAGACCACACATTCCGGCTATCTGGGCACCAATACCAAACCCAGGTATTCTCTCCCAGTCAGCTATCAGAAATTTCACATTTCCATCACTGCAGTTCAAAGGATGCTGATGGAGCCATATATCACGTTGCACCTTCCTTGTTAAGGGGTAGTTCTCTTCATCTGACCCCTTGATCTGCAATTGCTTCTTATGTTTGAGATGCTTTTTGGTATTGAAATATGAAAGTGGATATCCTATATTTTGTAGTGTTTGACAAAAGAAATGATTAATTTATGCCTAGAACTTCTTAGAATAGAAATACTGCACGACAATAACATACCCAGGGAGGAAAAGCTCCTTCAGATACTGTTTGATGCCTATGATACCGCAGATTCTCGTCTTCTGCTGTCAAAAGGAAGTTATCTAATTGTCCCTTCCATATAGTCCATGGAGGGAAACTGTCATTTCGAACTCGGGTATCAAGTCGTTTATTATTTTCTGCACTCAGCTTGCAGTCCTCAAAGTGAGGTGCTTTTGGTAACTTGGATTTACCCAGACGATTGTCTTCATTTGCTGATTTAGTCAGTAAATTACTCCAAGATGAGTACAGTAATGACACTCTCTCATCTACCCCCAATGCAATTTTTTCCTGGGGAAAAAACAACCTTTCCGAGTTCTTTTGTTTAACATCGCAGTCTCCACCTGTAACATATCCAAAACAAGGTTAGTTGCTCATAAGATTTCCGCAACAACAGGAAGATGTACATGTTGTTCGGTGCAAATAAGTAATTAAGAAATTGATATTATTGACGAAGACAACCACTCTTCTTCTCCACTCCTTTTCTATAGTGGGAGTGGAGTATATTTAGAGTCACACAAGACGTCAATAAATATCAGCTTAAGTAGTGCTTTCCATTGCAGTAGCTGTGCCATAACATAAGTTATAGATTCTAATGGGTACCAGATTGCTTAGGCAAAGTAGTTAATCCCATGTTTGATCTAATTTCACCTTTTTGGTCAGCGCCTTTTTGTCAGAAATCGTGTCGCTACTAGTCAAATATTCTTTACGTACGAGATCCGTCTCCTCTTATCAATTATACCAAGGGAAAATAGTAAAGTACCACACCAGTCAAAATAGACTTAAAGTTTAAGTCAGCTAACATAAAGCAGTTATACATTTTTTTTTTGAATAAATCATACACAAGCTTTATTTGAACCAGTTATATTCCAACCTTAGGTTGCTTGCTTCAAAATCACTCTTGGAACACATTTAATGATTCTTGCTATAAAAGAATTATTAAATCTGATTTGTAATGCTGATGACAATTGACAGGTATCCCAAAAATCAACTGTTTTCATGACCTACAATATCGTCTAATATAATAATCAAGAGCTGGCCTATCAAAAAACAAAATAAAACAGTGTTATCATAGGAAGAAACAAAAACACATTCTATCTTTCAAACAAATGCCCAAGTGATTCGTGAGGTCGGAAATGAATTCTGACTTACTTATTAGGCTTGTGGAAGTAGAATTGGATGTTGGAATACCAGATGAAAAAGCTGAAAAAGAAAGGCTACCACCAAACTGAAAAGCACCAAATGAAGTAAGAGCAGCAAGAAATAAAGAGGTGAGGCAAACACCACAGAGAAATCCAACCACACAAATTCGACATGGAAATGAGCTTCCCATTTGCATAGCCCTTTGTGAAACAACTCTTTCAAGAGATCTCTGATTCAAAGCTTCCATCTTTTCCGCACAAATCACTCTTTCAAAAGGAGTATATAGTCATGTGTTTTGCTTCCCAACCAACTTTTTAACTATCCATCACATGAAATCCTTTCCTTTTCCTGTTATACTTTTCTTCCAACTGTAAATTTACAAAAGCAAATAGCCCCTCAGTGTTAATATAGCTTTATAATAATCATAGAAAGGGAGAAATGGAGTAATTAACACTGAAGGTCGATTAAGGAAATGCATCCCTTTTACAACACGCCACACTCCCACAATAATAATAATAATAATAAATTAATTAAAGAGAGTAACAAAAGTGGAAACCTCAAAAGCAAGAATTGTTGTCTCACAGAGTGTAACTTTTTAATAGAACAGCTGAAATTTTGTGAAAAGAAATTACTGAATATTCATCCCTTAATTGAAAAGGAACTTTTGAAGAGACTGAAAATGGAGTACTAATAAATAAACCAAATACATGGTTGAAGTTTTTTCACCTATTATAAGTAAAATTTGCGTAGGATGAAGAGTAATTGGACTAATAATTCAGTGCCGCAAGTGATAGATAGAAGACGATACAAGCACATACCCAAAGTGTAATCAAGAAGACCATGCAATGAAATAGAGACAGACAATTAGCAGAGAAGAAGGGCACCCAAAAAAAAATGAAAAAGAAAGAAAATACCTCTGTAAAATTGCTCTCACCAAAGAAACAAAAAAGCTACGTATAATAATTCCAGAAATGAACAGCATTTTCAGCTGAAGTAAAGGAAAAGAAGAGGCAAAAAATTGGTCACGGATGAAGACATGGGAATCTTACCCAAGAAAAAGACAACATCCAGCTGTACTGAAGTACCAGTTACTCCAGTGTCATTAGCGGCTATATTATGGGATTAGTAGAGCTGAGAAATTTTGTTTTGTGAGTCATTCAACCATGTGACATCTTATAAAATTAGACAAGTGGATTATTAGGTCCCACTTCATTAACTTAAGTACTCTAAGAGCTTGGACCCTTTTTTCTGAATTATTTTTAAATCTGTGTTTATTTATAAAATTTTCAATTTTCACTTGAAGATTCATTTTAGAAATTTTCGAAAATTTGAAAAACTCTAAAAAACTGTTATTCAAAATTTTCACTCACAAAACTTTAAAAACAACCCAAAATTATATTCATGTCCAAACACACTCTAAATTTCAAGTAGCATTTTCACTTGAAAATTTTTTTCACCCTATTTTGGAATTTTACTATTCTTATGTCCAAACGCCCACTAAGATTTTAGCAAAATTCACATCTCTCCTCTCATTATCTTCATGTAAATCTCATATCGGCAAAATATGAAAGAAATATTGGGGTATATAAATAAGCAAGTCTTAAACTTTAGTGACGTATTTCAAAATCATGTAAACTTAAACTCAAAGCGGACAATATCACTAATGAATTGGGCTATTACATTACATACCCTCTCTCATTCAAACAAAAGTGATGGGTTCTTTCTTTCGTTTTCTTCCTCTTCCTCCTCCTCGTCCCATCGCCTCTCTCCTCAGTCTCCTCGATATTCCCATGACCAAAGGCAGAGCTAGATTATTAATTAGGTGTTTGTCTGAACCTAATAACTTTTGCTCAAATAATGTATTTGTGATAAAATATTTTACTTAATAATATGTATCATAATTTATTTCGAACCTAGCAAATTATCATGTCTTATAATTTAGAACTCATAAACTTAAAATTCTGGCTACATGCTATCCCATCCTGTTGGGAATAAATCCTCCACAGTAATAATATTCGCGGTAATAAAAGCGAAATAATAATGTAGCATTGAGATACGGTAATCAACAAGAATAAAGGAGTGACAACGGCACCAATATTTTTAGGTGGAAAACCCTTCTAAATAAGGAAAAAAACCACGACCCAAGAGGAGCAACTGATATCACTATAGTAAGGAATTTTACACTTTATGGCCCGAGTAAAATACTCGAAAGACCACTACAACACTCAAAAGAAATAACCCTCTTTTGATATTCTCATCTCACTACAATATTGCTCACACTCTCTATTTTTCTCAAAGACTATTTTCTTATACCCTGTCTGTGATGTCTCACTCTTTCTTTCTCTCTTTTGTTGGTGTAATTGAAGAAGTGAGAGGGCTCCTCCTTTTATAGGAGAAAGTACTTGGGCTCCAAGTTGCAAAAGAAAAATAGAAAACCTTGGTAAATGTTCTCCACATTTCGTTCCATTCTTTGGCTCCGAGAAAGGTTATCAACCAAGACTTTATTTTATAGGCACATGCCTATAATCTTTACTTACAATGTTTTCTTTTTTCTTATCAAATGGTTTGCCCCCTACAAATCTCCCCTTCTATTCCCATTCACCGAAAGGAGAAAATATGGGCTTTCTAGTTTGAATGCATATCGACAAGTTCTTTGCACAGCTCGAACTTGTCTCTTCGTACCACCTTGGTCTGCATATCTGAAGGATTCTCACTTGTATGGATCTTCTTGACCTGCATAGATTCATCCTCTATCTTTTCCCGAATCCACTGATATCGCACCTCGATATGCTTTGTTCTTGCATGATACATGGTATTTTTTCTCAAGTCTATTGCACTTTGGCTGTCACAATAGACTATATATTTCTTCTGGTGCAATCCAAGTTCTTGAAGAAACCGTTTCAGCCATACCATCTCCTTGCCTTACTTCAGTAGCGACAATATACTCTGCTTCATTTGTAGAGAGTGCGACACACTTCTACAGCTTCGACTGCCATGATATAGCTCCCCCTGAAAATGTGAACAGGTATCCGGTAGTAGATTTACGATTATCAAGATCACCTGCCATATCAACATCCGTGTAACCCTTCAAGATTGGATCAGATCCTCCAAAACACAAGCAATCTCCTACAGTACCTCTTAGGTACCTGAGTATCCACTTGGCTGCTTCCCAATGTTCCTTTCTAGGATTTTCAAGGAACTTGCTAACAACACCAACTGCATGAGCAATATCAGGTCTGGTGCATACCATTGCATGCATCAAGCTTCCGACTGTTGAAGAATAAGGAACTTTGGCCATGTTCCCTTTCTCCTCCAGTATTGTAGGACACATCTTCTTGCTCAACTTCAGATGACCAGCAAGAGGTGTGCTGACTGGATTAACACTTTTTATGTTAAAGTGTTCCAGTACACGTTCAATGTACTTCTCCTGAGATAGCCACAACTTTCTGCTTGTTCGCTCTCGAACTATCTTCATACCTAGAATTTTTTGTGCTGGGCCCAAGTCCTTCATATCAAATGACTTGGACAAATCTCTCTTCAACTTTGCAATCAGCTCCTTGTCTTGCCCTACAATAAACATGCCATCCACATACAACAATAATATGATAAAGGTGTTATCAGAAAATCTTTTAAAGTATACACATGGATCAGAATAGGTCTTTATGTATGTTTGACTTTTCATGAATGAGTCAAACTTCATGTACCACTGCCTTGGTGCCTGCTTCAACCCATAAAGACTCTTATTCAATTTGCACACCATGCGTTTCTATCCAGCTACTTTAAATTCTTCTAGCTGCTCCATATAAATCTCCTCTTCCAAATCTCCATGAATAAATGCAGTTTTCACATCCAACTGCTCCACTTCAAGATCTAGGCTAGCTACTAAGCTAAAGATTGTTCGAATAGAAGTCATTTTGACAACAGGTGAGAAAATTTCATCAAAATCAATACCTTTCTTTTGTTTAAAGCCTTTAACCACAATTCGAGCTTTGTGTCTGACCAGCTTGCCATTTCCATCTTTCTTGAGTTTAAAGACCCACTTATATTTGTGTGGTCTTTTACCCTTTAGAAGTTCAATCAGCTTGTACGTGCCATTTTATATAGAGATTCCATCTCTTCGTGTATGGCTTTCATCCACTAGTTCTTTTCTGGATGGTACAACACCTCCTTAAGACTTTCTGGCCACCCCTCATCACTGATGAGGACATACTCTGAGGAAGGGTACCTGCATGACTCTACCCTTCATCTCTCTAATCTGCTTAGAGGTTGAGGTTGCTCTTCTTCCTGAGTGGGGTACTTCACTTACTCGACATCATCATCAAGTTGCTCCCCCTCCTCAATAACCTCACCAGGTTGCTCCCCCTGCTCGGCAACCTCGTCAGCTCTACTTTCTGCACTTGTGGGGTTGTTAGAAATAGAAGGAATGGTAACAAGGTTAGGGATTATAACATTCTTGGACTTCTCTGACTGATTATCTACAACCCCAATTTCACTTTCTCGAAAGATTACATCTCTGCTTCTGATGACCTTCTTCTTTACAGGATCCCACAATCTGTACCCGAACTCTTCATCTCCATATCCGATGAATATGCAGGAAACGGATTTATCATCCAGTTGTGTTCTCTACTCCTTTGGTACATGTGCAAAAGCTCTTAAAAAACAACCGAACACCTTTAGAATAGTATTTCTGTGAACGAGCAGAACCTATGCTCTGATACCAGTTATTGGAAATAAATTTCCCACAGTAATAATATTCACGGTAATAAAATCGGAATAATAATAAAGCACTGAGATACGGTAATCAGCAAGAATAAAAGTGTGACAACGGCACCAAGATTTTTACATAGAAAATCCTTCTAAATAAGGGAAAAAACTACGACCCTAAGAGGAGCAACTGATATCACTATAGTAAGGAATTTTAGACTTTGTAGGCCCGAGTAAAATACTCCAAAGACCACTACAACACTCAAAAGAAATAACCCTCTTTTGATATTCCCATCTCACTACAATATCTCTCACACTCTCTATTTTTCTCACAGACTATTTTCTTATACCCTGTCTGTGATGCCTCACTCTTTCTTTCTCTCTTTTATTGGTGTAATTGAAGAAGTGAGAGAACTCCTCCTTTTATAGGAGAAAGTACTTGGGCTCCAAGTTGCAAAAGAAAAAAATAGAAAACCTTGGTAAATAATCTCCACCTTTCGTTCCATTCTTTGGCTCTGAGAAAGGTTATCAACCAAGCCTTTATTTTATAGGCACATGCCTATAATCTTTACTTCAATTTTTTCTTTTTTCTTATCAAATAGGTATGGACCCTACACATCCCACATGCATTTGTCCATCATCACCTAATTTTTTTCACCTAACTAAACCCATAAAATTTCATCTTCCTCCCCTTTCCATGGATAAATTTCATTAGATACCCCAATGGATATTACTCCACTAAAAAATATACTAAGAATTTAGAATTAAAATCTGTTTTATGATTCTTTTGAAATGGTAATAGAAAAGGGGAATCCTCATTAAGGTGGTCAGGAAATGGATAGGATTGGTGGCCTACGTTGTAAAATTAAACGCAAACTAGTAGTTGCCTAGGCAGGATTCGAGTTTCGTAAATTGCAGAATGAGAATTAAGGTGTAGTGTAGACGTACTTAGGGTTTTGACAGTGAGAGGAAGAAGATAATGAGAGGAGATGTGAATTTGCTAAGAATTTACTTAAATTAATGAAGTGAGTCCTAATATTCTACTTGTCAAATTTTAGAAGATCTCACCTAAATTGTGTTGGTTGTGTGACACACACAAAAAATTTCTCATATTTGCAATTTGCATTATTAACGTGTACGTGCTCACTATTTATAATAACTTTTATTTTTCCAATTGAGTATAATAATAAGATTGGTTTAGTTGTTGTAATTACTAATTTTTTATAAGTGTTGTCATTATTTACAGAAGAGAAAGAATAAATAATATTAATTATTATTTTGTAGATGAGGAGAAGTCTTGCCTCATTGGTTTG